GAGCCGAGGACGACTTCTGAGCTGGCACCCTCTTCTCCTAACTTCCGCACCACATCAACAGGAGGACATTTGAGCCTCGACATGCATCGACCTTCTCTGCATGGCCGGCCTTCAGTGGTTCTAGGCTCGAATTAATGACACGCTAGCCACAAGTTCGTTACGTTGACAACTAGGCTACCACGGCATGGATTGTCTGGAATAGATATGCGAAAAAAATGGAGCTCTAAGTCGATTTATTTCAACAGAAGTATTTATTAATTAGACACCATTAATCATACTACAAAAACCATTTCACATAGTTTCGGATTTCCAACAATTTTCCTGCACATTTTCTTAAATATCTTTCTTTTTTATCAAATTAAATTATAATTTAAATGTTGAGGAATTAATAATTTTTCTATTAATCTTTTTTTGTTTGCTATCAGAGTTTTTATATTTTATTTTATTGTTAGTATTATCAAATGTGAATAACTGAGAAATTTGCTTGAAGAAGATATAAATTTTAAATGGTTTATTTATTTTTATTTTCTTACTGAAAATTTAACCTTTATAATAAACATATACTTGGATATTTTCCAATGAAACTCTTTTTCTTTCAGTGGGTTCTTAGTTGCATACTTATTTTTTCAACAATATACTAAAAGCAATGGGAAAATACCATGGTTTTATTTTTACATCCATAGATATATAAGGTAAGTTACAGTTATATATGTCACACGTAACTATGAGTTTATTCTTGATTTTTCACTGCAGTCTGTTATGAGAAATAGGATTTGTTTATTTGAATAGTCTCTTAAATTCTCATGCGGCTTAGTATAAGATTATAGTTTCCTTATATCATGTACACTAATATGCTTAAAAATTACAACCCAATGAAAGAGACATGCTACAAACATTAAACTCGTATGAAAGGAAGAAGATACTGAGACGTGCAAATGATTAAAATTTAAGTATAATTGAAACGACACATCTCATGAAATGGCATCTCAAGCTCTGTGTAAAAAGGAATTTGCACAGTGGGTTTCTCCTTCGAAAATTCTTTGAACGTCAGTTATTCATAGAAAGGTCGTGTCGTACCTCGTATAAGAATCAGAAAAGACTGCAAGTACATACTGGAATTCGATAGTTAAAGAATTATGGTCTAACTATATTACTACTCGCACTTGTCGTAAATTAACGACTGTCTTTCGAATATGGAAACGATGAACATCGTACTAAATGCCGTGAAAGACTTCAACGGCCTACCCCCCCCCCACACACACACACTAACGCCCGAAAGGATATACATGTCATCAGGTCTGTCTTGCAGAATCGTACAGCAACATTAGACTTTGAGTCAAGATGAGGAAATTTATTGCGACCGATATATTTCCTAAAGGATAATACGATGCCGTCTGGCACAGCACGGGTTAGCTGCATGATGATTTTTACTGTGACTTCTCTTAACACTGCAGAATAGAAACGCCTGGGGACAGTAGTGCGGGCAACGAAAAAAGGGATACCGAAGTGGTACCACAACCAGTTTTCAGACGAGTCTCAGTTTTGTGAGCAGAATCATGAACGTATCCGTATTTAAAGGTAAGAAAAGAAACACTAGCGGTTTGCTTCCTTGCTTTTGATATCGTCATGCGTGCTCTGCATCGGCTACAATTGTATGGGCAGTTATTGGGTATAAGATACTAGCATCTCTTGCTCCTGTAATGGTTATCTGAACAGCAAGGGATACATTTCTCAGATTTTATAGAGGATATCCGTGCTATATCTTCAAAGTCTTAGAGGCATCTCATCTTTCAACAAGATAACCCAAGACCACGTGTTGCTTACGTGTTCTAGCTTACCACGACGAAGAGGGTGTTCGACTGTTGTCCTGGAAAGCACCTTCTCCACATCTCCCCTCATTGAAAGCATTTGGTCATGGGTTGCTGAGAATTTGGGATACAATCACTCTCCAGGTGCTATCATTGATGAAATGTAGCATAGTCTTGAAGCAACATGAAATGGTTTGTCCATATCTGTCATCCAAGCCTAGTTCGACTCGATGCTTAACTGGTTAGAGTCATTTTAGACATTATAGACGGTGGTTGCATGTTCTGCTAATTAATGCAATAGTAGAACATTAGTTCGATAACAGGCACCAATTACAGAACCTCCTTAAAAGATGTGGCCAAATTAAAAGCATTAAACCTCAATAAATGAAAGCTTCCTTACCTCCAAACCAATACCTTTTGAAAATGTTGCAGGATGATATTGTGTTCCCTGTTCTATTCAGACGGGATTAGGAATCGATACTTATATTAAATCTACTTTCAAGCTGAAAGCGTTTTCGTTCCTATTATTAATCTGATTAGCTCTTATAATTCCTGCATAGCAGAAAATGTCCTCAGTGAATAGCTTTAATAGCCACTATGACCATCAAGTAAATAGACCATCATGTAGGAAATACTTGATCAAGATAAAATATGAATTGGTCGTCCAGAAGTATTTAGCAATTTTTAGCCATCTGTCCCTAATTATCTGTAGAACAATATGAGCCATTTACATCTGTGGTTGTTTGTGGCCATTACGGATAACTCAGAGAGCTATTCTTGTAGTTATAAAAGCGCTTTGAACTCATGAAAAGATGCTGGGAGTGACCCTTCAGCCGCTTCAATCCCATTTCAACATCCGTTCAATCAAAACTTTCCAAAAATTCCACTTTGGATATGATCCTCCAAAACTCTACAGCATTGTCTTTTGGACATATAGCAGTTCGATATAGTTTAAACCAGCGCTTCTCAAAGTTTCAATATTTGCGACCCAAAATCCAATCACGATTTTCTTCACACACCCCCTTCCTCATAATAACAATGTATTGAATTCAATAATACTATATGATGCTAAAACTACAATGCGACTTAAACCTCGTAAGTGACACCGGCGTATATAAACGTCTCGCTCACCCAAAGCGTTGATTGTCCCAGACGTATATATACGTCTTTTCGAAATACGATCTTTTCTGTGCATTGCTATGAATAAAATTATTCCGAAGGCTTTGGATAACAAGAAAAGGACTTTGACAGTATTTGCGAAGGATTTACTTATTTCAGAGGATTTGCTTATTTATTCCTTTTCTCTACCCTCCCCCTTCAATACATGGCATACATGTGCCTACGTGGGAAACGGTGGCACTGGGGAGCAAAACGAGCAACTTTTTTCTTCAGTTAAGGGGTTAATTATAAACCACACAAATTATCAAGATAAGTGTTAATTTTTGTATATAATTTTATATATGACAAGCCCAGGAGGTCACTGGTAATTATTAAACTTGTTTTTAACTTAGTATTGTTAAATTAATTATAAAATATTGTGTGCAGTACTGACACATTTATAAGGTTATTATATCAGTGTAAATGTGTGTAATTATGCGAGTTATGTTAATCAGTGTAATTATGTCAGTATGTATTTTGTTTGTGTTTACTTTGAGTAAATTAATATTTTTTTAAAAATAATTTTTTGTTTACGACTTTTCAATATGTTCGCGCCCCCTTTGAAGAGTTATCATGCCCCTCTGGGGGCGCTCCACAGTTTGAGAAACGCTGGTTTAAACGGATATACATCGGGCTATATATAGCTTTCACAAAAATGCTGATCTCATACTGCTAACTTTCTTCATACCTTTTCGACATTCGCTCAATACTTCATGCTGCATTTATATGCTTTCCCTACCGTACTTTAATCTGTCTCCAAATTGGTCTTTTGATCCACCTTGCTCTCTCATTTGGTTGATATGCTAACCTTACAGCTTCGACCTTAAATTTTGAACACCACTTTTTTTAAAAAAATGAAATCAATACCTTTAGTTCAAAAAAGATGTTTTGCTATTACTAAGTATGTTTTTCTACAAATTTTTAGTGTTATTAAAATTCTGAATCTGTCTCTTTTGTTTCATTATTTAGGCTCACTCCAGTTTACATGATGTTTTTAGCATTTTACACAACCTTGATGGCTTATCTTGGTTCTGGTCCTCTTTGGAACTATAAGGAGACAGATCCAAATTGTCAGGCTTATTGGTGGTGGAATTTACTATATTTCAATAATTTCCTGACTGCAGCTAATCAGGTAAGATATTTTGGGACAACATGAGATAAATAAAAATTTGAAAGATTTTTTTTTTCACGAAGTATGGATAGTCAAATCGTAATGCATATTGGATTGTAAAATTTTTTAAAAAATTTTAAAATGTATTCATTAATCTGAATTTCATTTTAATGACATTTAGTTACTTTCAATCAATGGTATCCAGCAAAATCATTAAAATAACTTATATTTAAATAGTAACAAAAATAAATAATCAAATAATTTCTTGTTCTTTGTTGTATCTATTTAAATTTCCTGCTATGTGTTTTTACACTCGTCCTCTTCCTTGTTTTAAAAATTTTGAACTACTCTGGAATTTTTTGGAATTGTGATTGAACAGAAGTTGATATCTGAAATGAATATTTTTGTTTTATCGAGTTTTGTTTTATCGTAATATTTAATTTCAATTTTATTTTGTGCATAATTTTGGGGTTTTTTTCGTCTTTATTCTAGTATTTACACACTCATTTTCGACTATTCTTCCTGTTTTCTTTTAATATTTGCCTACTCAGACGTTCACTTTTCTAGGCGTACCTCTTTAATACATATTTTTTTCATTCATGAATATTAATTTAACACGCAAGTAAAAAGTATACGATTTTTTTTCAATCCCTACTATTAGTTCACTCTCTCCCCCTATATATATATATATATATATATATATATATATATATATATATCTTGTCCAAATTTTCAATCGTTAATAAAATACTTACTATTCATCCATTCAAGTTTAAATACAATTTTTTAAACTTGTAGTGGATGACACTTTATGTTAATACAAGTTTTTCAAATATTATTTCATTCATTAAATTAAAAAATGAATAAATAGTAACAAACAAAATCAATTGTCCAACAGCATGTATAAAAAGGACGTTTGCTGCGTCCTTGTAGCGCAATGAATAGCGCGTTGAACTCCTAATCCAAAGGTCATGCGTTCGAATCCCACCTGGGATAGCTTAGTTTCTAAGAATGTAATTTCTTTTTTACTATACTATCTTATTAGAATAATTAAATTGAATGAATGAATAAATAGTAACAGAGAAACAAAAATAGTTCAACACCATAAAATATATGCTACCGTTAAAGCGTGAAATCCATTATTTTATAGAACAACTAGGTATTTCATGAAATAACTAGATCAGTCAGTTTAAGTAAATAAAGTTATTGAATTCTACGATTTAACTAGGTATTCTTTAGAATAACGATTACTTGATCGCTAAAGCATGAAATACGACACTCGGAAGTTCTTTGAACTGGTTCTAGCTGCTTTGGGAAGAATTTTTCTGATTAGTCTTAATAAAACTAATGTACTCTTGATATTAGTTCAGTATATCTATGCAAGAATTAATTTCCATTGAAGAAGTTTCAAATATTGACACAACGCTTCGATCTGTTGCAACAGCTCAAAGTTGCGTTACTGGACAAGGATTTAATAAGTGCTCGTGTAAAAAAAATGTGCAATACTAAACAATGTGCTTATTTCAAAAATAACAAGCAGTTCAATCCAAAGTGTCATCACAGCAATCCTTGCTCTAATAAATAATGAAAAGTAAAATTTAGGTATCTCATAAAATTTTAATTAATATTCTCTTACACTTTTGTTTTAAAAAGTTAACGCAATGTTTTTATGAAGCAACAGTTTTTCTTCCCAGCATGTATTTTTTTGCTGATAATATTTAAATATAACCTATTTTTGCAACATATTCTTTTTTCCCCTTTTCTGTTTAACTAATAGCAAAATGATCAATATAATAAATCATATCATATCTGCTTTCCCTTATTATTTATCAATTATTCATCCGCAAAAGGGATAAAAAGTATTTTTCGAGAGATTTCATGGATATTTATTATCAATTAATTTATAAAACATCTTTGAGAAAATGCTTATTTTTCACTTTAACGGTCTATCCTTAGCTATATCATGGAATACATAGTTATTTCATAGAATAATTGGGCAAAGTATGAAATTGTTCTTCTATTATATACTTTACCTGACTTGTCTAGTTATTTTATGAAATATCTAGTTATTCTATGAAATAAAACACCTTAACGGTAACATATAAAAAGGAAAATCGCTTTCTATTTTGTCACATAATATTGTGATTTTGTCATATGTATATTAATTGTAACTAGTTAATAAAAAGTAACTAAAATAGAATCTTTCTTTGCTGACCTAAGTAGGAATTGACTTAATTTTTTTATATTATTTGTTTACTAACGTCGTAAGCGATTATTAACACGAGAGTTATTGGCATCGGACCTTTTAACTCTGAACCACAGTCAAGTAGTGAGGCTCACTTTTAAGCTATGTCTTACTCTTTCTCGCCACACCAACGTAAGAACTTTGAATCTATAGATTTAACGTACTCTAACCTCTCTATGTATCAGTGGCACGAAGACCTTCAAACTAACGCGAGAAACGCGATTCAATCTAAACAACGCCTGCGAAGAAATGACCTTTTTTACTGAAGGGAGAAAAAACTCATAGCATAGATTAATCCCCGATTTCCTTTTGTATTTTGTTCTTTGGAAGCAAAATAAAAAATTCTTTTAAACATTTGGTGCTTTTTGAAAATCAGTAAAGGATTTTCAAATATCAAAGTAACAAAAGTACTATAAAAAAAATTTTAAGTCAATTCCTACTTAGATCAGGAAATTTTTTTTTTATTTTAGCTACTTTTTATTAAATAGTAAACAATTTTTTAAATATGTATATACATATATGACAGAATCACAACATAAAGTGCTAATTAATTTTTATTAATTATCATTAAAGTATATTGTCATCCAAAACAATCGTGTATATATAAACTTTCAGTTCAACTGAATGCTTTAAAACGTGAGAAAAAAATCTTTTCAAGTTTTGACACAAGTCGCCGACTTGGCTGTATTTGTAATTCTTTAAATAATTAGTTTAAATCAATTAATTTTTATTAATTATAATTAAATTATTGTATTGTCATCCAAAATAATCATGTATATAAAATTTCAGCTCAATGGAGTGCTTTAAAATGTATTTTATTAACGATTGAAAATTCCACCAAGATAAATAATTAAAGAGTGTGAGCTAATAGTAGAAATATGAAAAAACATCGACTATATTATTAAACACATGTTAATTTTCATTCACAGATTTGTTGTTGTTGTCGTGTGTTTGTATCCTGGGATATATTTGAAATACAAGTGAAGAGAACAGAAAACATACAATACAAACAGAAGAATATAGACATTTATAACAAATAATGATCCCAACACATAACAGAAGGGTGCGCTGCTTTCCATTCGAGACGAGAATCCATTGCAGGCCAAAGTCCGACTTCTTTTCCCGAAGAAAATACAACCATACCTTACTCGGGATTCGAACCCGAACCTACTCGGTCACTGGCCAAGGGTTATATCCACCATACTGGGTGGGTGGCATTCAAAGATTTAGCTTTATCTTATAAATATCTCATAGCTAATAGAGATTCTCAAGTAATATCAAAGTATAAATGAAATTTGTTATTTCAAATTCTTCAATGGACAAAGAGTTGAAAACAAATGAACGGTTGAAACACAAAAAAAGTTTGATTTTTTGAAGCCATTGTTTCTTATCGTTGGGAAAATTTGCATTATACATCAGAAAAATTAAAAAAGTATCTCCGTAAATTACTTATATAAGAGCATTTGTGGTTATTTTATGTTTATTATAAAGCGCTTTAATTATCATTGTAACATAAAAGTTGCTTAGAATTATCCAGATTTTTCAAACAGAGCTGCAATACCTAAAACAAAATAAAATAAAAATATCAAAAAATATATAACTGTGTATAAAATTATTATACTTTAATTTAAATTAACATTTGAAAACGAATTCATGAAAAGTAAAGGATATATAAATTGAAACACATATTTTAAAATGAATCTTTATTTCCTCCTACGATGTTCTTATAAACTTCATCACATTTGCATTACGTTCTATAACATCGGCCAATTTCGTCAAATAAAAAAAAAAAGACGCAAATGTCAAGATAGGTTGCCAATATTTGAAAATCTTTCCTCTTTATGATCGAATACAAAAGAAGCAATGAAGCTTTTGGAGACATTTTTTAATTTGGCGAAATTGGTTGACGGTATAATAAGTACCCATTTGCTTATGTGTTGCCTTTCTTTTTTTAAGTGCTACAACTGCTTCTCAAGCAAAACACTAGAAACTATCACTATGGCAAAAAGATTTTCTTTGGATTCATTGCAGATTTTTTCCATTTCTTTCCTCTTTTTTTTATAGTTCTTAATACATAAATAATTTCCAAATAGCTATGTATGTCTTATAAGACGGCTGGAGGGCGTTGTTGGTTTGTCGTTGGCCTTATACGTGTAGGTTGATAGTTTGATCCCGGCCCAAGTTGATGGATTTTCTTGATGCAGAAAATCGACAGCGTCCATGTCGTATGATAATGCGGCATGTAAAAAATCCCTTGAGTACAAATTTGGCTTGGGTGCTCTCGGCAAAATAAAATTCCAAAGTGTAGTTTCACATCGTCAGATCTCAGGTGCCTCCCTCTGGGAAAGAAATTGGGCGTCAAAATTACTTGCGGTTATTCGTACTTCATCTATATGGTGCCACACTAAAAAGATATACTAATTTCCAGGGAATGTACTAATCTTGCGATGATCAGACAACAATCTGAAGCATCATTAAAGATGAAAAAAATGTATTACTTGTAAATATTCATAAACTCCACTTGCAGAAAGGAGTATTCTTCCAAAAATTTTTACAGATGCCATATACTCGCTTATTTAATGGAATTTTTTTACTTAATGAAGAGCAGTTGATCTATTTCTTAGCCCATTACTGCATATTCACACCAGGAAGCAACAAATTTACCAGAAAATGACACTTGATGGCGAAAAAAAGAATATGATTCATACAGATACTTCTTGCATTCCTTGGATAACCATTCAAAATGTTTATTAAAGGGAGATAGTCTTCTTGCATGTGCAGCCAATATCTATGAAAAGTGCAGGATGATTATAATTAAGTTCCCTTTTAAAATTGCTATAGAAAAAGAGCTAATGGTCAGAAGGACTTTAAATTTGAACTGAAAAAACTTGAAAAAAGAGGAAATGGTATGCTATAAGAAAAAAATTCATTAGCTGTTACATGTTCACTTTTTCTATGATTTTTTGGCCAAAGACAATTAAAAACCAATTTTCCCATTTAATGTAACCTTCCCGTGTAATGAATGGATTTCTCACTAATACAATGCTACAACTGTTGGCGGTCATTTTTCGGTCAAAAACCGAATTCATTATGCACATTGAAAAGTTAAGTTGGTTTAATGTGCAAATCATGTCAAAGAATTCGCAATTTTGGTTCAAAATGCTACTTATAGCCTAATCCACTTTCGCTATGCCTCTTATAGTGTTATCTATTGATACATTTTGGAACTTTTTTTCTTATGCCGTACAGTTTTCTTCCTTTTCAAGTATATTCAGTTCAAATTTGAAATCATTCTGACCAGTGGTTCTTCTTTGACAGTATTTGGAAAGAAAGTGGTACTTTAGTTATAATCGCCTTGTATAGGATAATTTCCATTTCTCCAGTATTTAGTATATCACTTAAAAGCAGCATTTCAATGCACATCTTTTTTAGTAAAATTATTTATTTGGATTTCTCCTATTTTCTCTTTGATAATTTAGCTAAATATGTTTAAAATATCTCCATGTAGAATTTCTAAGAGGATTTATATTATTACAGAGATCGGGGTTCAAGAATTTTATGCTATCAGTCTCAAAGAGCAACACAGTTACTTAAGAACGATGAAATTTTCTGTAGGTAAACAATTTTTAAGTGCAGGGCATAGCAACAAAATTCCCACAATAACTCCCAGAAGATTTTTCACAACTTCTACAGCCCCTTATCAGACACAATTATCAGTGTCTAAAAATACAAGTACATAAAGTTTATTTGT